GTTAGTGTGGAAAGAAGAGAGATTGATTACATTCAGAATAAGTTTAGGGAAAGGAGGTATGAAGTAGCTGCTTTGGAGTCATCCTGGCGCCAGGTTGAGTACTGGCTCTTCTGCCTTAACTGTAGGATGCTGAACAGGTAACTGTACCCTCAGAAGCCTCAGTTTTCTCAGATGTAGCTTAAATGTAATGGTAGGGCTCCTCTCTTGAAGTTATGGTAAGAATTACAGGAGATAATGCAGCCACACATGTAGCCAAGTTTATTTAACAGTTAGCTCTAAGTAAATGCTGGCTTTTGTTGCTATAATCAGTATATTTTTAGGGCCCCGATGGCACCCATTTTGGGCCTTGTATGACTATGTAAGAGGCTTGAGTAATAGAAACGGGTCTGATTTCAAAACTTATACCCTTTCTAGCATACAACACCACACTTCTGAAGCACTGTGCAGTCCATAAAGCAAATTTCCATTCATCATTCCATTGAGTCTCCATGTCTTGAGATACTGTGTCCCTGAGGCCTCTCAACTCTACTTCATTAGAAGGAAGAGAACAGAGTAAAAACAAAAAGCGGGGAGCAGCAACAAGCAGCTGGTCTGGGTCTGAAAAAGTGGGTGCTGTAAGCCTCCTCCAGAAATATTGCCACTGCTTTAATTTGAACCCTCTCCCTGCCTAATAGGGTCAGAACATTTGCTGTTTGGAGAAACTTTAGCCAGCCATTGGAATTACTGTTTCCAAGTAGAAGAGCTTGCCTCAGTGAGGAGAGAGAGAGAAAGTTACATGGGAGAATTACTTCATTACTTTGCTGAGGGGAAGTCATGAGTTGATTTAATGTTAGGTGCTGGGTTATAAGAGAAGTGAAACTCCTGTAAAAATATTTTAAACTGACTATACATTTCCTCATCCTAGCTCTGACCTATTCCACCTTAGAATGATAGAATTACAGAGTGTTGAAGATGGAACCAGTGATTGCTCAAGTCCCTCCATTTCCCTCTGTGAGCTGCAAACAGGCCTGTAAGGAAGGGGCAAGAGGGGTAGAAAAAAATATTGATTTTGTTCCCAGCAGGTGTCCTGGTAGTCGCTTGGATCATACATTCATTTTGTAACTCAGTAACCTTTTTTGTTGCTGGTTTAGTTGATTTTGTTTTGTGATTAGATCTTGCTGTGCTGTCCAGGCTGGTCTCAAATCCTTGAGGTCAAAGATCCTCCTGCCTCAGCCTCTTGTGTAGGTAGGAATATAGATGGACACACACCACCACATCTGGCTTAGCAGATTTTTTTTTTTTTGGAGAGTCTTCAATGTGCCAGACACAATACTAGCCATCATATGTGATGCAATAAACCAACAGACATAATCCCTACCCTCATAGAAGTTCAGAGGCTACTAGGGAAGGTATACACTGAAGATGAACAAATATACATAATTTTTTTTTTTTTGTATGGGGGAGTGAACTCAGTACCTTGTGCTTGCAAGGCAGGCATAGTGCCACTGAGCTAAATCCCCAGCCCAGAAATGTAGAATCTTAAATTGTTGGGCTCTGTGAAGGAAATGAACAGACTGTGTTATTATAAGAGAGGCTTTTTCCTGTAGCATTTTCAGTGACGGCTTCTCTGAATAGGAGTCATATGAGCTGAGCCTAGAATGAGCGTAGTTAGTAGGAAGCTGACACTCAGTATCAACTGTGCTCCCACTCTTACTTGTCCATCTTAGATGTAATGCTCATTTACCCTCCTACTGACAGAGCTCGGTCCATTGGTCCATTAGAACATGAAAATGAAAGGAAGAAAAAACAGCGGACTCACTTTGGAACCCATTGTAGACTCATTTTTACAGGAGTCTTGCAGATTTACTAACCTGCCTAGAGGATGGTCAGGCCTGCAAAGATTAGGGAAGAGCCTTCCAGACACACTGAGGAGCACCTGGTAAGACCTTGAAAGTGGGAGATGCAAGCAAGGATAAAAGCACGATGCACAGGTGCACGCACATGTGCACACACACACACACACACACACACACCCCTGTGCATTTGGAAGTAGGTGATGGCGGAGTGGTGAGCAGGAGCTGATTGTACAGTGTCGTTGGGTGAAACTTGATCATATTTTGGTGGCAGTGGAGATGCAGAGAACTGGGGTGATCTTGAAATAGGTATTTTTCAACTCTTTATTGAGATAAAACACCTAACATTCACCATTTCAAGTATACAATTCTGTGGTTTTTAATATATTCATAATATTATAGAACTATTACCATTGTCCTATTCCAGAACATTTCTGTCATCTCCAAAAGAAGCCCCATATTTCCCAACTCCCCACTCAACCCATCTACCAACACTAGTCTACTGCCTTTTCTCTGTGGATTTGCCTATTCTGGACATTTCTTATACGTGGTTTGTATAATGTTTTCAAGGTTCATCCATGTTACAGCATGGATCAGTTCATTCCTTTTTATGACTGAGTAATATTTCATTATGTGAACTTTTGTTTATCCACTCATCAGTCAATGGACATTTGAGTTGTTTTCATTCTTTGGCTATTATAAATATTGCCACTGTGGGTCAGCTGTATGGGCATGTGCTTATAATCTTAGCACTTAGTGAAGGCTGAGGCAGGAGGTCACCTAGGCCGTTTAGTGAGGTCTTATCTTAAAAGGGGTGGCATTATAGCTCAGTGGAAGAGCATCCCTGATTTGATCCCCAGTACCATTCTCCCTGCCAGAAAAAAGGTGCTGTCAGTAAGTTTTTAATGTGAAGGTATGTTTTCCGTTTTCTTGAGCATATACTCTGGAGTGGAATTGTTGAGTCATATAGTAACTATGTTTAATGTTTTGAGAAACCATCAAACTGCTTTACACAATTGATGCACCACTTTAGGAATTTTTGTTTTGCTTCAGGGGGTGTTTTTTAATTACAGTATTGCTATCCTAGTGGGTATCTCATAATTTTAATTTGCATTATGATTAATGATATTGAATGTCCTTTCACCTGTTTATTGACCATTTGTACATTTTTTTTCTGGAGAAATGTCAGCTTAGATTCTTTGCTGGTGTTATAAAGAAGTTGTCTTTTTACGTTGAGTTGTGGGAGTGCTTAATATTCTAGATTGTAGACCTTTATCAGAATAATGATTTGCAGATATGTCCTGCCATTCTGTGGGTTATCTTTCCACTCTCTTTTTTTGGGGGGTTACCAGAGATTGATTGAACTTGGGTCCTTGAGCTTACAAGGCAGGCAGTCTTTTCACTTTCTTAATGGTATCCTTTAGTCATAAAAGTTTTTAATTTTAATGAAGTTAATAATTCATTTTGTTTTTTATGCTTTGAGTGCCATTTTAAAGGTATCATTGCTTAATCCAAAGTCATAAGCATTTACATTTGTTTCCTTCCAAGTTTTATAATTACCTTTTATATTTAGATCTGTGGTGCATTTTGAAATAATAGTTATATATGATGTGAGGTTTGTGTGGGGCTATCATTGTCCCAGAATCATTTGGTCAAAAGACTCTTTTTCTCATGTCTAAATGTCTTGTTGAAGTAGATACACTAGAACTTATTAGTGGAGTAGACAGATGGTATGAGGTAAAAATAATTAAAATCAGGGAGGTGGGTACTGAGGATGAAACTCAGGGCCTTTGCACTGAGCTACATCCCAGCTCTTCTTATTTTGAGACAAGGTCTCACTAAATCACTAAGTTGCCCATGTTGGACTTGCACTTGTCAGCCTCCCATAGTGATGGGATTATAGGCCTGTGGCAGTAGGCCCAGCAAGTCCACATTATTGACTCAAGCAGCTGGTGTAACAGTGGAAGGACTTACTGGAATGAGGGAGTTGTGACTTGAGTTGGGGTTGAGAGACAGTGAAATGCTCCAATTTGAACTTGTTGCCTGTGACACTTTTCCATGTACTGCATAGTGGGCATATCTGAGGGTGGGAAAGAAGACTGAGAACCAAGAAGACTAAGCTCAGGCCTTCATTGAAGGACAGGAATGGGCAAAATTTGGTGCGTAACAGAAACAGAAAGGTGGAGGAAGACGTTAATGTAGATAAATATTTTAGGCCTCACGGAAACAATTTTCACAAGATAGTGGAAGTTATAGTTTGAAAGTGTTAGTAGGGACATGAATACCCACTTTACTTCCTGGCCTTGGAGATTTGGAATTATAAAAAGAAAAAAAGGAGAGCTGGGTATGGTGGTTGTAACCCGAGCTACTTGGAAGGCTAAGGCAAGAGGATTGCAAATTTGAGGCTAGCCTGGGCAACATAATAGACCATGTCTTTAAAAAGGTAAAAGGGTCCTCCTTTGAGAGAGCAGTAAAGAAAATAGTATTCTCAACAAACAGCAGGTTTTGATTAAGGAACAAAGTTGGAGGGAATTGTTTTAGAAGCAGCTTTACCTTTATGGACATTGCTGACTAGTGCAGGAGCTTCAGAGGGCAGAAAGGAACTTATGGCAGAAGAGGGGCAGGGATGTGTAGAGCAGTGTGGGGCAAGGATAGAAGACAAAGGACCCATGCACTTGTGTGGTTCTGAAGTCAGCAGCTGTGCTGCAAAATGGACCTAGCCCCAGCAATCTCAGAAAAAGCAGGCACCTGGTTCTAGTGCGATGCCTCCCCCAAAGACTATGGTACCTTCAGGCGGCTCTCTCAGCCTCTCAAGGCTCCAGTGAGAGGAGGTCTCATGGTGACATCTGCAAGGTATCACTGAGGAGCAAAGCCAGTCTTCCTGACACCCAGCATCGACTGTGCTCACCACTCTTAGTTGTCCATCTTAGATGTAATGCTCATTTACCTTCCTACTGGCAGAGCTTGGTGCGTTGGTCCATTAGAACATGAAAATGAAAGGAAGAAAAAAGCGGACTCACTTTAGAATCATTGTAGACTCAGAGCAGGTCTGTGCAGAACAGATGAGCACTGGCTGTGTGCTCCCTGGCTGGGAGAGCAGGAACTGGCCCAGCGGGGCAGTGTGACTGCACTGTGTGCTTTGCTCTCATGCATGTGCTCTGTCCACAGGGTCATGTAGGCACAACTGCAACCAAGAAGATCGATGTCTACCTCCCCCTGCACTTGAGCCAGGACAGACTGCTGCCAATGACCGTGGTGACAATGGCCAGCGCCAGGGTGCAGGACCTCATTGGGCTCATCTGTTGGCAGTATACAAGTGAAGGACGGGAGCCGAAGCTCAAGTAATCCTTTCTCTTTTGGCTACTCTACTTTCTGTTGGCCTCCTGGCCACCAAAGCTGCATTCTTGGCCGAGTCAGTCTTTCTAAGAGGCCTTGGCCTAGGAACCAGACCTCTGCACTGAGCCAGCTAAGGGTGCTCACCCAATCATGGACCTGTGTAGCTCAGACTCACCTCACAGGATCTGTCTGCAGAGTGAACTTACAAGGTTAGGAATTGAGATGTGAGAAAATGAATTTTAATGATTTCCAAGCCTTTTTATGATACCTGCTGATAAAGCACCATGGGAGGTAATAGGAAGGAACTGATGTTTGTTGAGGACCAGCTGGCACTGGGCTGGGTACTTCATACCTGGTGTCTTGTTTGATTCAACCAGCTCCCTGTAAGGTGTGTGTTGTGATCCTTTCTATAGAGGGACTACTCAGGGTCAGAGGGTTGTTACTTGCTGAAGGTTTCACCAAGGGGAGATGGCAGAGGCAGGATTGAAATCCAGATCTGTCTGATGCCAAGTTTGTTGCATTATTTCTTTGCCATCCATAGCATTTTGGTCTGGATTTTAGTTTTGTTTTCTGTCAGTGACTAAAGTTTCCTCTCAGTCACTAGGCTCTATTCCTCATTAAACAGTTTTATTAAGAATGTTGTGTTTGAAAGCAGAATCTCTGTGCCTATACATTCCAACTTGAACTTTAACATGTTCACAAAGGGGCCATAGTTCATATGTGTTGCTCCTGGGCAGCTCTGATTTCAACATGTTACATTCCTGACAGCTTGAAGCACTGGTGATATGTGTACTACTATCCCATTACCCAACTTTTTATTAATTTTATTGATAAAAAGACTGTTAAAAGTGGTCAGATCCATTTGTACCACCAGTGGTAGAAGCTACCCATTGGGCAGCTGTGCTGGTGCCACCAGTGGTTTAAGCCTGCAGGAAGGTGCTAAAGTGCTTTGCTGCACTGGCCCTTCCCTGCTAGAAATTCTTTCCTGACAGGCATCCTCTTCAAATTCTCCATGCTCTTTCCAGCAGTATGGTTTGGAATCCATTTGGATGATGGATTCTCAATGAAACTTACTCTTGGCTTCTTCTATTTTCAGAGTTAGCATGAGTCATTCAGCTTTAGTTTATCGTTTTCTTTAGGTACATTAAATTTGCACATAAAATTATCCCTTCAAGTTCTTATTGACATTTTGCTCCATTTTGCCTGAATAAATGAGCACATACAGATCACCTGTGTTGCTCTGGTGGCAACAGAAAGCCTTTCCAACCAAGTCACCACCTAGGCTCAGACTAGGGTTAACTCAGCTGCTCTCCTCAAGGCTGAGCTGTGATGTTGACCCTTTTCATCATGAAGTGGGAACAAGAAAACCGAAAAGGGAGCCGTAGTACTAATGACTTTATATTTGATTTAATTCTTAAAATGTTGCTCAGTACAGGTTTGGAAACTTAGAAGTGAAGGAACTTGCCCAGGGTTACCCAGCTCCTAAGTAACAGAGACAGGAGCTGAACTGTGTCTATATTTTACAGATGAGGAAACTAAAATTAAGCTAAATTACTCTCTTCAACCACATAGCAAGTGGTGGAATTGACGTTTAATCCCTGCGGCCTCTGACTCCAGAACCCCAATTCTACACTGTTATACTCTCTACCTACGACTTTGAAACACATGATACTGGACTGTCTTAGCTCTGAAAAAACAGGAGTGAGAAGAGAACATCATGCCATAAAGGACCATACCATTCAAGGTAAACAGCAATAACAGTACAGCAAATTACGTGGAAGTCAGGTGCTTTGAGAAGATCCAGCCCCATTTTGAAGGTGAACACAAAGACCTGGAAAGCTCCCTCGATCAGAAGACACCTAAACCGAAACATGAAGGAGAAATAAGAAAGGTCATGCAGAGAGGTTGAGAGGAGGGTTTTTAAACAAAAATAAACATGGATCTCTAGTTAAAATAGTCTTTTAGGTTCACACTTTAAATTCTGTGTTCTGTTGTAGTGTGTAGTAACAGTAAATGAAATGTGTTATAGACATATATATGTTAGGTAACAGAGGATAAGATTTCAGCACATTTTTTTCAAGAACACAGTTCAACCCTGTAACGCTACTTTTACTTAGTTGATAGACCCTTTTTATTACATTTTCTCCACTCACATTACTAGTGTGGAAGCAGCCCAGTCATCCTCCACCAGGTGACGATAAAACACTGGTCGTCTAGCCGCTGTACAATGCAGGAGTGCTCAGCAGTAAAATAGGAGCAAATGCTGATACATGTAGCCACCCAGATGGGTTCTCTTGGAGAAAAAGGCAACCTGAGAAGTGTGCATACCGTATGATTTCACTTATGTGACAACCTCAAAATGGCAGAAGTACAGAGACAGAGAACGTTGCATAGTTGCAGGGGACAAGGGGCGGTGTTGGAGAAGAGAGGCACTATGAAACAGTAGTAAAAAGGTGCTCTGTTGTGCAGGAAGAGTTGAGTAGTCTGGTGATGGTTACACAGATCTATATGTGCAATTGAATGTATAGAGCTACATACCCATATGAGTGCGTGTACAAACTGCTGAAAACAGAGCAAGAGCTGTAGTCTTGTGAACAGTGTTGTGCCAGTGCCGGTTTCCTTGATCTTGATATTGGACTATAATAATTATGAGATAGCTTGCTCTTACGCCCTCTCTGCCTCTGTCTCTCTCTCTCTCTGTTTCTCTCTCTCCTCTCCTTCCCCTCCCCTCCCTCACTGGCCTTGAACTCACTCTGAAGCCCTGGCTGGCCTTGAATTCTCAGTGATCCTCCCTCCTCAGCCTGCCCTGAGTGCTGTGATTACAGGCGTGCACCCCATCTCAGCTTCATTCTCTTAACAGCAGTTTTGTGAGAAGTTTTAAATGTCAGTGAACTTTAGTGTATCGATGTTTTCTTTCGTGGATTGTGCTTTTGGAGTTTTATCTAAAAAGTCATCATCAAATCATCTATGTTATCTTCTAGAATTTTTATGATTTTGTGTTTACATTTAGATCTATGATCCTGACTGGGGAGAAGGACCAGTGCTTATAACTCTTGGCTAGCATGTCTCAGCAATAAACCCCTGGGTGGGATTAATCCCTACTACCATAAAATAAATTGATCTACGATCCAATTTAAGTTAATTCTTAGGGAAAGGTGTCAAGTCTGTGTCTAGATCCCATATAGTTGCGTGGCAACATCTGGTTTCTCCAGCACCCTTTGTTCAAAGTTCGTCTTTTCTCCATTGAATTGCCTTTGCTCCTGTGTCAAAGATGAGTAGACTCTTTTTCTGTGGACCTATTTCTGGCATACAAGATTCTTAAAAACATTCCTTAATTTATATTTCTCCATTAGATTCCAGAATGAAACAATATCTTTTAAGTAACACCCATTTGTGAGAGAAAAATAAAATTCAGTGAGGTTTTTCCCTGTCATGAATTTGAGATATACACCTGCTCTTTACACAAGACCACATTTACTCTGCTTCATAGATAATTTAAAGGATTTTCAAGAGTAATTTTGACTATTCCCATTTTTTATGGGAGACTTGAGTCATATATTATGACTGTCTTGCATACTAGCATGGCCGGCCCTTCCTTGCCTTCTTCCTTTCAGCTGTCCCTCAGGCATTTAGCATAATTTCACTAGTCCCTTATTTACTTAGCTGTTTATCAGGCTGCTGATAGGTGAGCTAGTAAGAGCCTGAAGAGCTTGCTGTGGTCCAGAGCTGGAGTAGTAGTGTGCCTTGGAGATTATTGCTATGCTCAGAGAGTAGAAGTTTCAAAGTATGAAGCAGTGCTGTCCAAAAGAAATACTGTATAGTGCAAGCTGAAAATGTGAGTACATTTTGCAATTTTTAAATTTTTAGTAATCGAAGTTTTAAAAATTAATAAAGGGTGAAATTAATTTTTCTAATATTTTATTATAGTGAAGCTGTATCATTTCAGTGTGTAGTCAGTATGCAGTTATTGATGAGATATATAATGTTCTTGTTCTGGTCCTTAGTCTTCACTGTCTGGTGCTTATCTGCAGTTGACAGCACAGCTCCCTCCATTCACATATAGCCACCTATAGCGTGTGGCCACCATACACCAGGGCGTGGCATAACCATGCCATGGCGTTCGCCATTCTGTGGTGCATTCACTTCTTACTAATGTAGCCGTGGCTGTCAATAGTGCTTGGGAAATATCAGAGAAGTTCGTGGATAGTTTGTGAAGTATTTATGTCATTAAGTATCAAACTTCATTTTAATCATTTTTTCATAGAAGAACATCTTTGTCTGCTGCCTTTTTTTTTTTTTTTTTTTGAGATGGGGTCTTGCTGTGTTTCCCAAGATGGCCTCAGACTCAGTCTGCCTGCCTCAGCCTCATGAGTAGCTGGAATCCCATGCATGTACTACTACACCCAGATTTTTGTCTGTCTGTTTGTTTGGTTTTTGAGACAGGGTCTCACTATGTAGTTGAGACTGACCTAGAACTCACTGTGTAGCCCAGGCTTGTCTCAAACTCACAGCGATCCACCCGCCTCAGCCTCCTGAGTGCTGGCATTACAGGTGTGCGCCACCATGCCCAGCTGTCTGTCTCTTTAATCAGAGTACAACACATCAGTTAAAATTGTGAGATACAATGTGTAGTTTCTGTTTTAAATCTGATGTTAAGACTTACAAGCAGGATGATCTTGGATGAACTACTTAAGCTCGGTGTAATGTGGTTTTTCTCATGTGTAAAATGAGGTGGAAACTATCTGAGTAGTTATGAAAATGATTATGAGTAAATACATGGCAGACGCTCAATAAATGTTCCTTTCCTCTGCTACTAAATATAACTACAGCTCACTACTACTATAATTAACACTAGTATTATTTCAGCAGTAGTAATATAAGTTGCCCTTTCTAGGTGATTTGAATAATCACACAATGCTGTGATGCTCTGATGCCCTGCAGGCTTACAACAGAATTCAGGAATGCTTGACTTTACATTATGCTTCCAGACAACTTTGTTATTTTG